TTCTATATAAATATACTTATATATGTACTGTATATGTATTCTATCTGTTACCCTAACATCCCATAACACAAGCCTTGTAGTGCTTACTTTGGGCTAGGCTAATTGGTGTGAGTGTTGGAAATATTTATTTATTTATTATTTAAAATTGCCAGAGAGCAATGGCGGCGCGTCGAGAAAAACTTTATCAAAAATATCAAACTTTTTAACTAAAAATGCCGAATCGTGTCATGAAACCATCGTAGTATACCTTTGAGGAGCTCGATGGCGCAAGTGGTTAGCGCGTTCGGCAGCGATCGTTGAATTAAAACAACTTTCAGAGTGATCGGTCATTGGATGGGTGACCAAAAATTTACTATCTCTCACTCCTCGGGGCACTGGATCCAATCTCCCTATTCCATCCATAGGGAAGGCCTGTGCCCCAGCAGTGGGGACATTAATATGCTGATGATGAGATACCTTTTTACTAGAGATGGGCCGACTATAGTATTTGCTGACTTACCGACTAATGGACTATTCTGCTATGCCGATCATTCTAATACCTATCTTAGGAAGATTTTCGGCATATTTCGTCACTAATAGGCTTGCTCACGCACGACACGAGTCTCCCAAAACGAGCCGAAATATTCATTCATGCCTCTAAAGGTGGATTTACACCAAACGAGCGAATGCTCATTCTATCCCCACTACGTCAAATTCTTCTAGTGTAAACAGGCGTAGAGCATTCTTTCGTTGTTCTTAGTGCGTTCGCAAAGATTCTATAGAATATTCTAAGAATGCTCGCTCGCTCGATGTAAACGGCGCAAGAGCGCGTGAACAGTTGCTTAGAACATTCTAGCGTGTTCGGACGCGCTCGCTCCACTGAGCGGTCTCATCAAAGTGTTCTTGTGTTCTAGCGTATGTTTACTTACGTATCGTATCAATTAAATTATGGATTGGTCTCAAGAAAAATGTTTATTAATGATAGAAGCCTACCAAAATGCCAGATGTCTATGGGATCCGACATATGAACATTATAAAAATACAACTTACAAACAAGATGCTTGGCAGGTAATCGCAACACTACTGGAATGTAATAATGTTGAAGAATTAAAAAAAAAGATGGACTCGCTTCTTGCATCTTACCGACGAGAAAGGCAAAAAACATTGAGTACGAAATCAGGTAGTGGTGCCGATTGTACTTATAACTCTAAATGGTTTGCATTTAAAAGTATGCACTTTTTGATGGACAAATATAAACCGAGGAAAACAATTGATTTCGACTCTAACCAAAATAAAAAGGATAGCAAAGCACTACCAATACCAACCAAAGAATTGACTCGAATGAGCAAAGAACATTCGATCTAGCTCTTGTTTACACCAAAAGATTAAGAAAGAACATTCTTGTTCTAGTTCGGTGTTCGTTTGATGTAAATAGATACGTCAAGTTTTAGTTTACACTAGATATTAACGAAAGAATGCTCTAGTTCTAGCTCTAGCTCTATGTTCTTTTAGTCTAAATCCACCTTAAGGAAAAAACATTTTACCTATGGACTTCTTTAAGACTCGCTAGCACTTAAGATTTCACTCTATTAATACGTACTTACTTCCCACTGCTATTTTGATATGTGCGATATTCATTGTGTTAAGGTATCTGAATTACTGACAGATTCTTAAGTTCGTAATTCTTATTATGTTACCTTATTTTTTTTCAATATTTTAAGACTGTAGGTAACTTTAAATACATACTCTAGATACTGTTTAAATATTCATAAGCATAAGTTTTGAGTTTTATTTCATTTTTATGCGCCGATTATAATCGGCAGGTTTTGCCGAATAGTCGCCGACTATAAACGATGCCGATTAGTCGTCTTTCCCGATTAGTTCGCGGCTAGTCGGCCCATCTCTACTTTTTACTAAATCTGGATCTAATATTACAGAATTAACATGCAGAGCTGATACTATTATAGTTTTAGTATACAAACAGCCTTGACTCGGGGTCAAGGATTTGTGTTATTACACATTTCAATGCCTGTCTAAGGATTCAAACCTGTTGCTCTGTGATTCGAACCCATATTCATAGTAGTTGAAATATGAGTTCTCCGGTGCACCAAAATGATCATTATCAAGATACTGGTGTCGATTCTGGCATGATTCTCTAAACCTAAATTTAAACTTGACAAGAGTGCATCCTTTTTATACACTGTACAGAATGACAAGGAGAGACTGATTTTAAATTACGTTTTAAGTTTAGAAAAACATGCCAGAATCGACACCACTATGTTTATACGTCTTTAAAACTTATCCAACTCTATTACCTTTTTAAAATAGCCTAAATGGCTTTTAGATTCTTGTCAATGTCATTTGGTAGTCAGTCCAAAGAACTCATACAATACAAATATGTGAATTGTCTATTTAAGCAGCAATTTCTACTTTCCCGGGCTGTTGGTTTAGAATGCAGCGCGCGTATTGGCTTTCGCAATGGCGCCATTTCATCTTTCCCTTGCGGACGAGTATGGCATTTTTAATTCGAGCTCTTTCGGAATGATAAAGAAAAAGAAAATCCTTAATTTATTCTAGAACCTAAGAACTAGGGAGTCAGGGGGATCCAATGGATGCGGAAAGCTCAGGATCGTTGTGTTTGGAGATCTCTAGAGGAGGCCTACGTCTAGGGTTGCCAACCGTACTTTATTATAAAGTATTGTACGTTATTTCTGGTAATTATACTGTATACTTTATGCTAACAATAAAGTACAATAAAATACTTCACTTAATGTGATTTGATTACTCGGGGATTATTTTACATAAAATATACAAAAAGAGGTTGATACGAATATTTTTTGCGTAAAACAGACAGTATGAATATGATGCCCTTAGCTAATTCAACAGTGCAACATTTTCGTGGCTGTATGGCTTTGTACCATGACCTTTCCCATTGCTGAAAAGAACTAGAGATTTTTAGTAGGCACAAATTATTTAGTAGAAGTTGCTAGTTATTTAAGTAGCAACGTAAAATATATTTTTAATCTTACTAATACAGTGTAATAAAAAGTGTTTTATTTTGGACACACTTTACTTATTTTCTACCTTTTATAGCCAAATGTACTTTATTTCGACAAAAAACAAAGTGGATTAGGACAAAGTATCCACGGCCAGAATAAATTAAAAAAAACCAGCAGTGGACGTCCATCGGCTGATAATGATACTTGAACCCGTCCTGGAACGTAAGCAAGCTATATACCCGTAGCTTGACGTTGATAGTCCATTCTAAACTTTATTGAATGTGAGGGACGGTTCAGGGAGGGCGCCTCTGTCTTCGTAAATAACATACAAATTTTATTATGAAGTTTACAAAGACGGCGGCGTTAGTTCCAAATTTCGTCGCATTTATAAAGTCCTTGTCGTTGTCGCACTGTAAGCAACCATGACGGCCGCTTAGTGGTGAATAGGTGTAATGTTTTTTTTTCTTTTTTTTTCTATATAGCTTCGCATGGTTTGTACATTTAGCCAATGTCAAGAGTAAAATGTTTACATATTTTATAGCACTCGTGGTCAAAATATTAGTCAAGTCAAAGTAAGTGGCAGTCAAGTCAATACCCCTTTCTCTATGTTTCAGTAAATGTGTGGGGATTTACTGGAACCGCCCCGTGGATTTCTTGAGCGAACGTCGAAAGACACTTTCCGCTATTTTGTTTCACCTGCCAACACTTGTGCATGTTTCCGAACACTTAGTGGTCAATAATCCACCATTATTAGACACTAACATCCGCCACAACACAATTTTTAACAAGAAAAACAAAACTGCTAAAGTGACCCTTCCCGATCCCGCCAAAAAATATATATATAAGTAAATATAAGGATAAGTTGTTGTGGAGATTAGCTCGTCATACATGTGTCCCGTACAAAATTTTTTACTTCTTTCCATATTACCGCGAATCGATTGCATAGCTTATTGATTTTTAGGTTGCAACAGCCCTAAATATTTATGAACAATTTTGATGTTTCGATAACCAGATACATGTTTGGATTTTTAAAAGAAAACCCTACTGCTGCTACCACAAATCGCAAGCGTCTGTTATCTGTCATAATTTTCAACAGTTTTATGGATAAAGTATCCTTTTAAATTAAATAATAGTAAAAATGTAGACATTAAATAAGTATAATGCGATTCATCTAAGAATAGGATCGACGGGGCGCCATATTGTGACGTCATAGCTGTCAATTCAAACGAAAAAGGTAGAGTGAGCAAAAACGTTTTTATTTAATAAAAGTTATTTACTAAGATTAAGTGAGAAAAAACATCCGATTTTTTTAATAAAATTTATTTACTAAAATAGAGAAAAGAAAATAACCGATTTTTAATAATATTTATTTATTAAGACTGTGCGAGAAAAAACATTAATCAGAATTAAGCTCTTCAATTCCGCTCATCTCTGCATTACCGCCGGAGTAGTTATGAATAATCATGCACTATTACTAGGTCACATACGAACATGTATCCTATATGTAAACCAAAGTTTTAAATCGAGTTTCTGAACGCAACTTAAAGTGACATTTGGTTGACGATTTAGGTTATCAAACATTCATAGCCAAAGCTCAATAAATGAAAATAAAATATCAACCAATATTAATTAACAATATTTGTTATTGTTTGTTTACAAATATATGGTTTTTATTCCATAATTAGCTGTGTTAAAAAAGGGTTCCAAGATTTTATTGCAAGCCATACTTTTCAAGCTACATTTGACAGATGGAGATCATTGGCTTTCCTATTCTTATTTGAATCGCGTTATATGAAACTGAATTCTGAGTGTCAGTAAAATCATGCTAGGCTTTTGATTTTTTTTATACAAATAAACGTGCACCAGAGAAAGGAAACGCATTTTTTTTTATCTTCATTTTTAAGGCTTTGTCGCTGGGCCACTTGTCAGTCTACATTTTAGTTTTGATAAATAATACTAGGTAAATGAAATAAATGATGAGACCAAAAAGTTTTAAAACCACTTAATATTCGAATTGTTTAGTAAAAGAAACCAAAGATTTATTTATACATGAAAAGAAAAAGGAAATAAGCAAATTGTGTCATTGAACTGAATGAATGAGTGAAGGTGATCTAAATGAAGTGACAAGTGAGTAATAGTGAAGTGAAACATGCAGCGGCAACTCAGCAACGTGAGCTTCCACTCGTACCAAGACTATCAGCCGGCGAGGAAATATGGTACTTAAATACATACATTATACACACCGACAAACTTTTTGAGCGACGACCATAGACAAGTTCTTTGTACAGTAGAGTCTGTGCGTTAAGAGAATGGGCGTGGCGAAAAACGGAACTAACATTAAGATTTTTATTAAGCAATTTAACCAAATTTAACCCAGCCATCTGTCAAACATCAAAGTTTTGTATTGATACGGATTTGTTTGTTGTTATGATTTCTTGCGGTTTTTTTGTATTTAATCATGTCTAAAAAGGGTAAAATCTTACAAATACGGATATAGAAAAGCACTACAGCGCCCTCAAATCTAAATCCCATTCTCTTTCCGCACAGACTCTAGCATTATGGCACGATTACACTTGGTCGTTAGCCCGAATAAGAGTGCCAAAGGAATTCGGGTAACCGACTAAGTGTAAATGAACCGAGTCGAGTACGCGTGAGTATTCGGGTAGTTTTCGGTTTGGTTACCCGAAATCGTCTTCCAGCCCGTATTTCAGTGTAAATATTGCTTCGGGTGCCCGAACTCGAGTAATGTTTTTTCTGCACCCGAATACAAGCTAACAACTAAATGTAAATGAGCCATTAGGGATTTCGAAGCTGCAAACTTGTTTTTATACCATTATCTGCAATGCAATTTATTGCAATATTTAATGCAATAAATGAGACGGCGCGTGGTTTATTAAAGCATTAAATAAATTTGACATAGGTACGGCTGTTTGACTTTCAATGACAAATGTCTAACCTTACCCTTTTCTTATCTTTAGGTACTACAAAATCTTACCAATGCCACATTTCTAAACTACCAAATCTCAGCAACATCATATATTATACGTCTAAGCAATGACAAACTACTAAAGTACAGAGTATTAACAATGACCTAATTAGAAAACTGCGAGATTCAACAATGACGAATCTCTAAACTACACAGTATTAACAATGACAAATCTCTAAACCAGTGTTACCTAACCTTTCCAATGTTACGCTACCCCTGTAACCTATTAGGAAAACAGATATTACCCCGACTTTAAAATGTTATTATCCGTCCAAGAAATTCCAATTTGGCCGCTACATCTTCGCATCCAATAATGTCATCATCAGGAGAAAATCTCGCCCCGCTTCCCATACTCGGCACCCCGCGGGCTCGCTAGTAAGAAGGAGCGCATGCTCTATTTAGTAGTATTATTATATAGTATTTTCTTATTATTTAGATTTGACCAAATAATTAGGTTCTTTGTTACCCCCGAAGTATGGCTGATTTACCCCCGGAGGGGTAATTACCCCCAGGTTCGGAACCCAGGCTCTAAACTATCACTTCTGTCCTCCAGGGCCCCAGTATGAGCCGGGTGGTTACGCGAGCGCAGTGCAGCAGCGTACCAACATGACGCAGCGCGAGGACGCGCTCAAGTTCGAGCAGAGCCGCATCAAGGCGCTGCAGGAGGAGCGGTTGCACATACAGAAGAAGACTTTCACGAAATGGATCAACTCGTTCTTGCAGAAGGTTCGTTAAAAACCATATCCATGTCGGTTCATTCCTTTAGGAGCTATGATGCACACAGCAGAGACAGAGACACACGTTTTTTTCCACCCAGGCCACAGAATATATACACTACGCGAAAAGAAGCGACACTTAAGCATGTGTGCTCGTAAAATCGCCCGCGGCTATGTGTGGGTGTCTGGAGGTGTGCGGGGGCGTTGCGCGGCGCGTGGGGCGTGGAGAGGGCAGTCGCCGACTGCCTCGACCGAAGGGATGGCAGTAGCGAAATAGTAAAATAATAGATAGCGTTGCACTGCATTGCACGCACAGACTGACTACGCTACGCAATCTTATTATTATTTAGATAATAATAAGAATTATAAAACGAATCGAAAAAGGAGAAAATATATAAAAGTTAGCAATTTGTTATAGTACCTACATTAAAAGATTAAAAATTGATTATAAAATCAAACCTATCCTTCATTATTTACCCCAGTATCCTTGAATCAGTTTACATTTAATAACTTACTATGCATAAATATTCATTGGTACAAGTCTAAATTCCAAGTTCAACCCTAGCGCATACACGCTCCTGCTCAAGGTCACTGACGCTGGAACTCTCACGTACATAGAGTGTCACCGCTGTGCCCAGGCGGAGGAGCGGGTGGAAAATCTTCATGGTTTACACATAGTCTATTCGATTCCTTTTTGGGCTTCGTTAGTATGATCATGTCTCCAACTTTCGAAAGGAACTCAAGTGGCTCCCCATACGTCTGCGCAGGAATGTCAGAATCCTTTGTATCCTCTTCAATATGCTTTACAATTCTTCATATCCTTCCTATCTTCGGGAGAGGTTTTCTTTCACCCACTCGCCTAATGTTCCTTGCAGGTCCCATCTCAAATCAGTACTCCTATTCATAAAACCGAATGTGCATCATACTCTTTTACGGTACATGCCGTCCGCTTATGGAACTCGCTGCCAGCAGGAATCAGAGACAGTCCAACTGTTGCTACATTTAAAAAACGGTTGAAGGAACACTATTTATCCTAAATAAAACTAGTTTTTACGGGTTAATGCACGAAAACTTTATTTATTTATTGACGTTTCGCAGCCTTTTCAGGTCTGCATCGTCAGAATAATGATTTTTTATTTAAAATTGTCGAGCTACCTTCGAAAGACTTATATTGAGCGTTCGGTTATTTCATTGGAAGATTTTTAAAATTTTATTGTCTATGTATGAATTTATTATTTAATTTACTTAATAAAGTATTTTATTTAAAATTCTTGTTTGTAATTTTGAGTTTATTTATTTGACCCTAACTACCGTAAACTACCACCGGTTCCAAAATTGGGAGACCTTCCTGAGAAGAACCGGCGAAACAAACTCAAGAGAGCTCTCTGCATGCTTCGTGCATTAACCCGTAAAAACTTGTGTTATTTAATGAGTGATGTGCGTGAAAACCTAAGAAACAAATACTATTTATCCTCTTGAATCACTCTTTCCGAACTGTATTGCTTCTCCTTTTAACACTTGTATATTTTATTTTAGTATACATGTTTATTTGTACATCTATGTAGATATATATGTAAGTATTGTCACGGTAATAATATCATACAGTATTCTATCTTCATACAAACGGTCGGAAAGCGAGTCATACCTACGCCACTCGAGTTCGATGTGCTCTCGGCGTGCACCCAGTCGCGAATGCGCCGGCGCCGCGCCGCAACGACGACCGAACGGTCTGAATTGTTTTTTATGCAGTTAGCCGTGCTTAAACATGCGTTTTGTATTGTAAATATGTGATTTAATTAAGTAGATACCTCTCTAATATTTAGGTATTTCGGTTTTTCCATCGGGCAAAATATCTGGAATAATATATAAATAAGTGGTTAGGATGAAAAAAGAGACAAACGAGTAATCTACACCTACACTCGCGTTAAAAACAAAACTACATAAAATACTGTAGGCTGTCGACCCTACCGCGTGCCAACGCAGCGTTCGGTGTAGGCATTTATTTTCAAGGACAGGGCGGAGTCACAATACTGTATAGATAATATTACCGTGGTATTGTATTTTGTCATTTATATTCAGGAGGCACACACTAGCGACCTTTTATTTTATGTTTTTTCCTTTCGCAGACCTGCTGGAAGAAATTTCAATATGAAATAAGCAGTGCCCTTGTACAAATTTCTTGTTCCTGTTCTTATCTGTTTTATTGTGTGTGTACTAAATTAGTAAATCAATAACAAAAAGGATGCGTGTAACTTATGTACGCGCGTGAGAAGTTATACTTCTTTAGCATCATTAAAAATATTTTTTAATTGCATGCAAATAATTAATAATTACAATAAAATAATAAAAGGACTGGAAAAGGATAGTTAACACAGTCAATTAAGTTCAGTTTTAATTTGAAAAATTAAATAAATATTCAAAATATTCAATTAAAATCACTACTGAATTTAAGTTATTAGTCCATGTGTAATTAGCACTTGTAAGTAACTAAAACACGTTGTGTCTATATAGAAACTAGAAACATGTGGATAAATATTATAAATATGAAAACAGTGAGCAGAGGCGACGAGCGTGCCAACATTGTTTTTGACAACGCGATCATCTTATGGAGCTCCGTGGATCGTTCAAAGTACCTTTCGAACAGATGTCTAATAATGGTGGATTATTAACCACTAAGTGGTTAATAATCCACCATTATTAGACACTAACATTCATAACGCGCCCGCGGCCAACTTCATAGTGTTACTATTGTGTTACAGTGATGCGCGCGCATCTCGAAATTTCACTCACATGATTTTTTCATAACGCGGCCGCGGCCAACTTCATGCTGTTACTTTTGGGTTACAGTGATGCGCGCGCATCTAAAAATTTCACTCTCATCATTTTTTCATAACGCGCCTAAAGAAGTATAACTTCAAAAAAATAGTCGTTAGCCCGAATACGAGTGCCAATGGAATTCGGGTAAACGTTAAGTGTAAATGTACGGAGTCGAGATCGCCCGAAGGTAGTTCTCGTTTTGTTCACCCGACATGGTCTTCCAGCCTGTGTTGCATTGTAAATATTGCTTCAGGTGTCCGAATTCGAGTAATATCTATCGTGCCATTTGATCGTGCCATCAATGAGGGCTATCGTTTTTTGTCTCACCAGATGGCGCCACTGTTGAGTGAGGTCCTGAAATGTAGCTTTTAAAGTTAGTAAACATGCTCGTGATATCAAAGTTTACATTTAAATCATATTTTAATACAAAAGAATCATATTGTAAACATAATCGCCCATGCCACAGTGTTGCGTAGTCCCATTTTGTTCGGAAAAAACGAGGACAATATTTTTTCTTAGCTCCGCTTTTAAATAACGGACATTCATTGACACGTAACTCATATTTGTCATAATAAGTCTGATTTATTACCAAATATTCACAACTATTATTTTAAGTAAAAAAAACCGCGTAGTCGACCCACAAGCAATAAAATTTGACATTTCCGAGACCTCGCGCAACACAAGCGCCTCTAGCGGCGGTTTCAGACGCGATAGCCCTCATTGAACCATTACTATGTACTTCCGCCCCCACTGTCTCATTATTCTCAAAAATGACTAATTTCCACACTATTAATTCAATATGCATGCGGTGTAGGCCTCATTCATCTCCATTGTGAATGCATGATTAATTAAATAATTCAATTTTCATTGATCACACACAATTGACCCCGTTATGAATAAAGGTTACGGTTTGTTAAGGAGTAGTCAATTAAAAAATGATTTTGTTGTATCTTAAATGTGGTGCATCGGGCGAGTACAGACGATCGCGAATCATACGTAACATAATTATCTATACTTTTTTTTACTTAAAGGAGACGGTTTAAGAGTGGTAGTCAGTTTCCGACAGCGATGAAACATTATAACAGAAACAAATATATCATCTCAAAGCTTTATAGTTTTATATTATAACATGAAGAGATAAAATACCCAATAGGCTATTTGACAAGTTTTAGAAATCTCACGTTATTGACCAATGTTTATGGAGTCCGTAAAAAGAGGTAAAAAGTGGTTATTCATCATTCTGTTGTGTATTTCAGTAAAAATAACCAAATCAAAAACTCCATTTTCAAGTTACCGCGAAAACGTTTCTCGGGACAATATGGCGTCTTACTAGTGTGTGACGTCACACGACTGTTATTAAAACGTCAAACGATACAATGTAATGTCACTTTAACCGGAAGTTTACTTGCGTGTGACGTCTTTTAGGTTCAGCCAATCCCAAGCGTTTTGGGTCACGTGACAATAGATAAGAAAACTATTATGTTTTTCGTAGGTTTTTAGTAAAATTATATTTTTTTTTTGTAAAAATAGTATAAACCCCTGCCAATATTCATTCTAAACACAGATGCTAACAATTGGCACTTTATTTTTAATACTTTCAAATATCCTATTAGCTTTAAATTGCGTTTAAAAATTTAACAATTTCGTAAGGATGTTGGCCGCTCAGTCTTAAGAAACGTCATATTTTTAGTGTGTAGCTGTTTATTAACGTCAACTCAATCACTGTAAAATGTCAATCATGGTGTCACTGTAAAATGTCAATCATGACAAATGGCATGTCATGCCTTATTCAGAGAGTCATTCCCGATATTCGTGAAATCGTAGTGAAATTATTATACCAATTTTTAATGATTTTTCTTGAAATTCAAAAAAATCTATGTTCAATACCCACAAAATACCTTATAACATAATGAGAGATGAACGGAATCATTATATGTAGTAATGGTGGCTTTAGTCACCAATTGAATAGAATATATTTGATGCTTTGGCAACAATCATTAGATAAATAAACTTGCCAATCAATAACTATGTATTTTTAAATTAAAATATTTATTTAAAAAAAAAGACGGGTTGCACTCCGGGAGTGCCGGCAGAAGTGAAAACTTGAATATTAATCAAGTGCATTTTTAATATTTTGGAATGGTTAGGGAATAATTTTGCACGAATTGCTTTAATTATCAGTATAAAAGTACT